ACCTAAGAGAGGTCTACCCAAGGTACATATACACCAAGTATCAAAGCATTTCAGGCTTGTAGTTTTCAAGAAGAAGTCGAAAAAGTAAAACATTGACACGGACGACGACGACGGACGACGACGACGGACAATCACTCATATGATAAGCTCCGCTCGACAAAGTCGACAGCGGAGCTAAAAATAGTAACATGTCACATGTGGTGACACAATACTAATTTCAGAGATTTATTAGTCTACACAGATGACAGTGGTACTAGTAATTCAGATCACTTTGGTTTTATGATCATCTCAAGTGTAACACACGGACATTTATTGTGGATACTAATTGTATTTATGCTCCTAAAGGTACATGTACTGATGCAGTCAAAGATTAGGATAAGCTACTTAACCTATAATGTGGCCTATTGAATAATTTTGTGCAGTAAATGCAGTGTGGGAAATATGTCCAGATTACATACCAGACATCAGGGCTGGTAACTTTCAAAAGTTACAAGTTACCAGTCCCGCACATTTTTACAATTATTTTCGCACACACACACACACAAATAAACACCAGAGGTCACGTACCTATTATTATATTAATAAGTCAATGGATTCAGTGTTGTGGGTTGAGAATGCGTGTTTGCCAGTCGCAATGTGTGACGGCTATACAGTATTTTCATTGTTTTGGCTGAACACGTTTCTGTTAATGTTTAGAGCGCAGATAAAGAACGGTAGCTTGTTTTTATTTTAATTGTGTGTGCAAACAGGTAGGAATTACCTACACTTGTAAATGTGGGAAAAGTTGTACATTGGCTCTACAGTATCTATATGTTAGCTTGAGGGGGGGGGGGGTGTGTTGCTGAACATTTGAGGTATATGAGGCAAGAGAACCATCTTTAACCAGTGTCATTAAATTAGCCAAACTGTGCACCCTTGTAAAAATGATTTCACGTCACCAACTTAGCTGGTAGTGTTTGTAACAATATGGCAGTGAAAGTATATTTTTTGGGACTGTAATTGGTTTTGTTTACCCACTCCCTACATTTACCCACTCCCTACATCTTGTAGGTTTGGTCTCCTCCCACCTTTTTTGGGGGAAAGTTTCTCTTCTGCAATTAATTCTCTAAGACGAAATGGAAATGAGACAAAAACAAAAGAGGTTGTTAAGTATTATCGTCAGGGAAAGCTATTGTTTAATTGGCAATGTTTGGGGTATTTTGACCAGTTTGTGATGTAGGCATGACTTAGAGAATGATGCATTGCTTTCTAACTAGTCTCATATAGGGTAACAGAAGCATATTTACGCTACTAATTCAAAATTATGAAGGCTAAATTAAGAGGCATGTTCTCATAATAAAAAAATCTAGGAAGATATAATCACCATCACTAGCTAACTTTGACAATGTCCCCTCCCCTCTCTTAGAAAATTGCAACATTTTCCGCTGCACTCCGGAAATAGGAAATTTGTTCCGTCCTCTACATTTTTTTTCAATGAACAGCTCCACTGACTGCACCTGATACACGCAAGAATAGACTAAGATCACGGTCAGCTGACATGTGTATCATTTAGCGTACAGCGACACACATGCCAAATGACTTTGTCTTCGACTACGCAAGTACATGTACGTGTATAGATCGTCACATCCGGCATATCGGCAAACACAAATTTATAGCCCACCACGCGCTATCCTGATCCACCTCGGGAAACTTGTACCTGTATTTGCATGGAGAGTTTTGACTACAAGTTGCAAAACAACAAAACATTTAGGATGTTGTCTTACCTTGATTTACAGGAATAATTACAAGTTAACTTGATCAGTACACGCATAAATCTAGCAAAGCACACGTTTTTTATCTAGCAATGCAAT